AGAAATTGGGAAATTGGGAAATTGGGAAATTGGAAGATTGGGATATTGGGAAATTGGGAAATTGGGAAATTGGGAAATTGGAAATTTGGAAATTGGGAAATTGAGAATTTGAGAAATTGGGAAATTGGGAAATTGGGAAATTGGAAGATTGGGAAATTGGGAAATTGGGAAATTGGGAAATTGGGAAATTGGAAATTTGGAAATTGGGAAATTGAGAATTTGAGAAATTGGGAAATTGGGAAATTGCAAGATTGGGAAATTGGAAGATTGGGAAATTGGGAAATTGGGAAATTGGGAAAGTGGGAAAGTGCAAGATTGGGAAATTGCAAAATTGGGAAATTGGGAAATTGGGAAATTGGGAAATTGAGAAATTGGGAAATTGGGAAATTGGAAAATGGGGAAATTGCAAGATTGGGAAATTGGAGAATTGGGAAATTGGAAAATAGAGAAATTGAAAAATAGGGAAATTGGAAAATTGGAAAATTGGAAAATTGGAAAATTGGAAAATTGAAAAATTTATGTTTCAAGCACCATAAAATCAAAATTAATATATATATAACAAATACATAACATATTAATCAATAAAATCAATATTAATTGAATTTTTATAAAAATGGAACAAGTGGCGCCATCTCTCCGGCGAACAGGGTGAACTACACACTTTTGAAACTGCAGTTTCATTAGTTCCTACTATTCGCCACTAGATGGCGATTTTTTTTTTTAAATTTTCAAATATGAAGTTTCAAACATAACGTAAAGCTATAATAAACATAACCTCAAAATATGATCGGTATTCTAATGGAATGTTGTTGCAAATTAAATTTTGATTAAAATCATAGAAATGGCAGGTAGTATGAGGCAATTAGAAGAACGACAACTTTCAGCCGAAGTAACTCGGATGCAATGGTCTCCGAAAATGGACCTGTTAGCAACCGCTAACGTTAAAGGTTAGATTGTTAAAGGGGAGAAGAATAAACATTTCTCATTTATTTAAATAATTAAGCAAAATATAACAGAGTAATTCTTTAATAATACAAAGCAGTAATAATATATCTTTGATTGAGTAGTATAAGTTTTATGTACTATTTTACAAATATGATTATTACAGGAGAAGTTATGTTGCACCGATTAACATGGCAAAGAGTATGGCTGTTAAGTCCTCAGGAAGAATCTGATACTGTAGTGAACTTAGCATGGAGACCAGATGGAAAATTCCTGGCTGTTTGTTATGAAATTTCCAAAGTATTGTGTTTAGTGGATATTGAAAATAAAAACATAATTCATAGGACAAAACTTACGTTGCAAAATGATATCACATGTATGATGTGGTTACCATTAACAAATGTGGATAATGATACTGTATCAGGTGGAAACAAACCAAGCATGCTACCAACAGGGGAATATCTTCCACCGTTACCCAGTTTGAACAGAAGTTTTGGCCAAGAACCTGAACGCAAAGAATTCTTATCTCAAACTTTAGATATTCTTTTTGTAAGTTAATAAAAAATACATACATTATTTAATATATTAACATTAACATAATAAAGAATGTCTTTTTCCAGCTTGGATTGGACAATGGAAGTGTTGCAATGTATGTGTTTGGAATATTCTATTGTGGTACACTTTCAGTTGGCCATGATCGAATATTAGAAATTAGTGGTGGATTTGGTAAACCAATGTGGGTCACGTGGAAAGATAACGGTGGCATTAAAGCAAGTAGATTATGGTGTCCATTGTTGGAACAAAGCACAGCATTTTTTAAGGTTCTTTGCATAGTACATTTAATAATCATAGTTAAGAGAAATGATAAATCTCTACAAACTTATTATTTAAATCTGAGGTAGCACAAGCTCAAGCTAACATAGAATATTTGATGGATTATCTTTCACGTACATTGATGGCAATCTCAGAAGCATGGGAAACAATTCTTCTTGAAATGGATGAAAAGCTCGCACGATACGCGGAAACAAATCCGCCTGGTGGTGTTGCTGCAGATTTTCTAGAATTATTAATGATCGGCATACCGACGCAGAACTTAGAAAATTTTTTATTACGAGATTTGACTGAAAAAGGATTAAAAAAGTTGGGACACAGTATTGAAATGTGCTACAGTAATATACAGGTATTAATACGTTTGTTGAATGTATTAATATGTGTTATATTAATCTATCATTTTACAGAAATTGGTCTTGAAAAATTTAACAAACGTAGGGATGGCTTTAGTGTATCAATTAGCTGAAATGAGGGGGATGGTGAGATTAGGTGGTCCATATGAATCTCTAGGATTTGCAAATGAAAGTATTATAACTAATGCCCTCCATGCGTCGGAAGCTTTTCTAGCGAAATCTTCGGAAATTCAGCAAGTAATAGATCATAGCATGCGCGACTACAAAGCATTCTTCCGGTATGTTCTAAAAATTATATGTTCACTGACAATATTTGTACTATTTGAGTTCTTGTTTTTTAAGGTGGCTATATGTTGTAATACTAAGATTAACAGACGAAAGAATACCGCCTGAAGTAAGTCGCGTTAGTCAACAAGAATTAACATTTATCGCGGAATTTCTGCGCGGTTTTGACAAAACTGAGCCAGGCGTTGGAGGGAGGAAAGGAGTGAATTTAGAGAAATTAGGTCAATATTTACGACGTGAAAATTTACAGACTTGTTTAACACCCGAAGGAAGCGAATGGACAGCTATGCTCAGTGAAAATCATTGTCTTCGGGATCATCCACTTATCGTGAAACAAGATCTTAATTTCTCGCTGTTACAGTCCCATGCGAGATTGATTGTCGCCGTTCATAATGTTTTTCGAGAAGCCTATTCAGGCTTAGTTGAACATTTCACGATTACTACTATAACTTTGGCACCATCTGTGTCGTTTGCATCATCCCAGATTACGACCAACGATGATGGTTTACTTGTAGCTGCATGTGACATGGATCATAAAATATTACGACTATTTAGAATCGAATGTTCACATACAGAGCCTGTTTCCCTAAATTTTAAATTGGGTACAATAGATATAGATCATAGATCAGGTTTGTTGGTTCACTATAAATACATGTAACAATGTGATTCTTGAAACTAATATTAATAACAAATTTTTGTTAACAGAATCATATTCTAAAGCTTGTGTAGATGGAACTGTGATTGATTTACAGTTTTATTCCCAAGAATACCTCAGCTTATTGTTGCTGAACAAACATACTCACGCATCGTATCTGATACAGTTACCATTAAAATGTCCTCGAATTTTTGAAAATCATGATAAAAATGCAGTTACCTTGGCCGAACTCATAGGTAATAATTGGCCGCGACCTTTTCAAGGTATTTCTGCTCGGCGAATAGCAGTGAGCGGTGCAAGAAAAGTTGCCGCTATTTTGAGTGAAAGCAATAGAAAAATAAGATTATTGGAAACTGAAGTAGAACCTGAAGATGAGGAAGATGAGGAAGACGAAGAAGATGGAGGTAATGATAGTATGTTGGATTCCTCGCATGAAAAGCCTACAACTAGCTCTCAATAAATTCATTAATCGCTAAGATTATATTTAATAAAACCATAAACGTAATAATAAGTAATGATTATGTCCATATTATAACAATTAAATATTTAATTCTGAAATTTGATAACTATGTAAATGTATGTATATATATATGTACAATAATGAATTTTTTTTTAAAAATGGTAGATGAAGTTTCTTATTTAAGAAATAATTATATCCATTGAGTCTTTATATGTTACAACTAAGAATCTAATAAATTTGTATAAATTACGCAAGAGTACGATTGCCCGTAATAAATATGATATTCTATAAAATTATTTTTTATATTTCCTATAGTTGTTCATTACTTTTGCATTTGTTTAAATACTTTTGGGAAGTCAATATCAAGGGCTGCATTATCAATACCGCCATCTTCAGTTATTGTTGGTGGCACTGCCGGACCAGCCCTAACATTTGGTGTATACTTTGCAGGAGAATTTTCTCTTGATTCTTCCAAATCTATAATAATAATAATTTCAATATTAGTTAAACATAATAATTTAATTATTTTGTGTTTTTTTTTCAATTAAATCTTAATAATTACCAAAAAATCTGCGATTTCGTCTTCTTTTTGTTGTGACAATGAAAAGAACAATTGCTATGCCAACAACTACTACCATAACAGCAGCCATTCCTCGTAACAAATTTGTCTGTAGAAAAGCAAGCACGTTCAAAATACACAATAAATGCATCTTTTTGACAAGTCTTGTTAAACAAAGTCATTATAGTATACCTCGAAATCATTTTCCCAAACATCTTCCCAATCTTTTTTGACAATCAATTCAACCACGTGAATATTAATTGCAGAATGATCTGATATACCTTTTGAAACACACTTGTAAAAACCAGATTCAGCAGTTGACACACCCTATCAATAACAGGATTTATTAAAGTAACTGTCTAAAAGAATACGAAAAGAAGTTAGGTGTCATAGATATTACTCTTATAAACAGTTTTCCAGTTAACACTTCATAATTGTATTTATTTTCATCCATTGGATTCCCAGGGCCAATAATACGATTATCATCTGTAAGTTGCCAGAACATAAAACGATGGTGGTCATCACTACTTAAACAAGGAAGTTCAGCTAAATGACCAGCTGGAATTTCTGTTACTGTAACTGTGGCTCCATGAACTCCAGTTTTTAATAGGAACAGTAATGAACACAAAAGTGAAACACATCTTATGTTCATCTATAAAATAAAGTTGGAAGTATAAAAAAATTACTCAAATTACTGTGCAAAACACTAAATTTGTACTCTAATATTTATTGTCTCCAACTTGACTTTCTGAATTTATTATTGATTTATTAATTTGCAAGCTTATATACATGCTTAATGTATCAGAAAAATCTGATAGTTCTACCTGTTGCATTGTTTATCTCCACTTTTCTTAATGCAGTAAAAAATCTAAATAATTACACTCACTTTAAAAATTGCTCACTTTTACACTTATATGAATGAAATGTTCAACTACAGAAAATGTTAGAATACTACATAAATATGGTACAAAACTTGTTTCACCACTAACTAAACATGTTTTATATTGTTAGCATCTTGTTTTGTAATGCAACAATTATATTGATCACCTTTGGTACAAATTTTAATAGTATACAGTTGGTTTTAAACGTGACAGATGGGTGCCAGAACTCTTATTCTATAGACAATGCAAGCAGAAGGCACTTCTTAGTGAATCATGTTGCATAACTGCAATGATGATTCTATGTGAGCTGTATGTAGTCTTCCACTGTTTCTTATTCTTCACTTCAATAAGTGTACCAAGTAATAAGAAACAAAATCACCGTTTGTAACTGACAACAAACTCATAGACTAATGAGAAAAGCTTCAATAATGAAGCTACCATACACTTACTTATTTATATCTTTGTCCTATTCATCCTTGCGCAATAAAGTATTTATAGTAAGCTAGACTGGCATCTCGTGACTACTATGTCTGAAAGTGCAGTATACATTTCTGCAGCTTAATTACTTAAAAAATATTGACATGTAACATAAAACCTACTATCAAGGTAATATTTATATATGTTGGTATTCATCAACCATAATATAACATATATATGAAAATGTTATAATTTGTAATAGACTACTATATAATCACCACATATATTTTTAAGATTTTAAACGTTCTTATAAGTAAAATAATAAAATTAATTAGCAAAATCAGCTAAGCATGAAATTTATAGTAATCTATTTTCATTAAAATGTTTTCAATGTAATTGTTTGTATAACTAATTTTCACATAATATTTATATAAAATACAATAAATATTGCATACATTTAATTAAATATCTTTGAATTAACTGTGATCTGCCATTGTCAATACGGGTCATGTATCAGATGGACAAAAACATCAACTGTCAGTGCTGGAAGGAGTACCCAAAATGGTGCTAAAACAACTTTTGCTGGTAATTCCCAATGAGAAGCTTCCAATTTCAAACAAATTAGAATCTGAGCAGTTAATTTCATAAATACAGCTGCCATGTACCATGCCTAAAAAAATTATTTTGAGTTTCCAGAAGACACAATGATCATTTTGATTCAACTTACTTGTCGACGCAAATTAACAACAAGACCATTTTTAAAATGGGAAACCATATTAAAAACGATATAAATCAAAAATATTTGGTCGTATAACCACATTGGAATGAAAACAATGAACCAATTCCATTGTATTTTTTGATCGAGCCTTAGAACAAGTAGAATTGCAAAAATCAAATGATTGAACCAAGTATATACAGCACGATGCAATACTGACATTGCAATATCAAACTAAATTCGTCAAAAATCACGAGACAAAACGTGACCGTAAAATACTATACGATCATATTGCAATTTCGGCAATTTGTTTACTATAATACTTTAATATACACATAACCTTCGCTGTCGGCTAACCTATAAAATATAAAGATTATGCAGATGTCGCTACCAGAGATAAATAAGTTCCACTCGTGAAAAAAATATTATCATTCAACGACGAGTTTTCGTTCATTTTGCGCATGTCGATTCTGATTCATATTCTATAACTAAAAATAACGCGCATGTGCTATTACGGCCATTAGATGCATATTCGTCATTTTTTTTGAACTTTTGAGTCTTCAAAATTTCGGCACTGTAGGACTTTGAAAGTTTGAAAATTTGAATCTTAGAATTTTTAAAGCGAGACTGAGATTTTAGGGTTTGAGAATTTTAGAATTTTGTGGTATTGGTAAATTGGGGTATTTTTCAACTTTGTGAATTTTGACACTTTGAATTAATACTGCGGCACAAGCGCATAAGTGGTAAAATTATCATTTTGAAATGTAGATCTAAATCTGTAAATTTTTATCTATATCTTTGTCCATATGACAAACAATGAAAAATGAGTTATGGTGAGATAGCTTTCAGAGCTCATTGCAGTGTCATGACCTTTAATTGCATGTAATATGACATTTAGTTGAAAATTAGTGATGAGACTTCAAAAATTTCATGATGTAATTTGTATTGTACTGTATTTTTCAATATTTGATATATATTATACATTTATATATATATACATTTAGTCATACATTTATAAATATGTTTATATAAGGTGTAATAAAAAGATTTATTTTCTGTCAAGTAAACGTAAAATCTAAATATTTATACAAAATTAAAATACCTCCATAAAACGACAATTATTGATTTACATCGTGAGTGCTATTTTTTACGCTTATAATAATTACTACTATTTTTATTACAATTATCGTAAATTAATGCGTTTATATATAATTATTATTCGTGTAACCTTCACAGGTCCTGCATTTTTAGTTACATGTACACAATTTTATACACAATTTGTTTTGCATCTTATGAATAATATCTCGAATGAGTATCGTTATGTTATCATCATTACATCACCCAGTAGAATAATATACGTTTCAGAACTGTCCGATCACTCAGTCCAGTCTGATCCAGCAACACATTTTGGAACGCATTTATAAGAGTTTATCTGTTATGTAATTTATGGAGATTTTTTTATTAACTGGTGTTCTTAAATTAAATATATACGGTTGAGATTCAAATTTCAACAGGTGGTTATTAGATGTTATGTTTGAGTGTTATGTTATTGAGTGTCTGATGTTTATTAGTACATAAGTATTATAGTCACGATAATGTCTCAACAAATGAATAATACTACATCGAATAGTTTTCAAGTACGTATATTTTATATTGCAAGCATAAATATTTTATAAGAATGTACATTTCGTTTTGTAATGAAACTATACTAATATACTACAGTAGTAGTATCAGCGGTAAATATTCATATGAAATGTGAGAATTTGAGAATATGAAAATTTAAGAATTTGAGAAATAGGGAATTAACAAGTGCTTTTTTACATTTGCTACTAGCGAAAAGAAGTTAGCATTGCATCTAGGTGTACACACGTTAAACCAAATATATTCATTACATACTTATCATGTTATTTCCTTTCGACGAGTGGTCTTATAAATATGCAAAAACAGCATGTGATTGATCGAATGCCTAATAATCGTTTGTAATTCGCCGGAAATAGTAGATTTATTGTATTAATATAAGGAAAATTTATTCAACATTCTATAAGTACAATTCGCTTGGTAACAACTACTTACGAGGGAGCAACGAAAATATCATTATTCAAAAATTCTAATTAGTGTCATTTTGTATTAATTTGGACATGAAAATAAAACTTCATTATAGAAATAAGGAAGTATTCTAAAATATAATTAACTGTAATTACTATAATCTTGTATATGTGCATTTTATCTGTGTTGTGTAAATGGTACATTTTTTTTATTATCCATGGAAAATATACTATCTATGTAAATATACAATAGTTACATTTATTCTACATTTATAATACCTCCGGTAAAATAGCTATAAATACTTTGGAATAGTAGTACTGTTCTTAGATCGAGGAAAGTTAAGATCTATTTTAAAGGGTAGCGCCCTGTATTTGACCCCATGTAGAAGCCGGCGATTTCTCAAGGTGTACGCTTAAAAATTTCTCCGACGCCGGCAGCAAGACTGATAGCTTTCTATTAAATCTTTAAATAAGCGTGCACTAGAAAATCATTGCTCATTCGTTTCGTGGAATTTTTTTTCATTCATCTCGCTGTTTCCTTGTGTGGTTACGACCTTAGCCTCTTTCTCAGCATTCTTTTTCCGAGGTCTAACCACGTGCAACATTAACAATGCCAAACTTGCGATCGTTGGTAAGTCAAAAGAAAAAAAAAGAAAATTTGAAACTAACAGTATGTTGTTTTTCTTGGTGTTAATTGTTACCATTTACAAAGTAATTACATACGATTTACATATTGTATTTGTAGATAACCTCCTTGTAAAATGTATCTCCAGATATTAATTTATTATTATTTACTGTTATTCCTTAGTTTATATACATAAAGGTAGTAGTTCAAATATAAAAGATACGTGAACAATATTTGTAAGATGACATGTATGTTTTATTAAATTAAAATCATAAAACGAATTTCCATGTAAATGTAAAATTCATAAGTTTTATTAATGAAACTTCCATGTTTGTTATTCATAATATGAAATTTCTTTATTGGAGTTTTTAAGTCTCAATAATTTAGAAAAAATTACTACAATTCTTAAGAGCTTCTGATCATTATCTGGTGTCATAGGTCATATGGTATCACCAGTTCATTTTCACTGTTTAATCTTTACATATTTGTTTCCAGGCTTTACCAATATTGGCTGCTGTAGGAACTGTAGTTGTAATAGGATTAGCATTTAAATTATATAAATCCTGGAGCGGTGACAAGAAGAAAAAGTCTCCAGTTTTGCTGGTTGACCCAGTTGTTAAATATAGTTTACCTCTAATTGAAAAAGAAATAATAAGTCATGATACAAGAAAGTTTAGATTTGGTTTACCAACCCCAGATCATGTACTTGGATTACCAATTGGTCAGCATGTACACTTAACAGCAAAAATTGGTGAAGATGCAGTTATACGTTCTTATACACCTGTTTCAAGTGATGACGATCATGGTTACGTAGATCTTGTGATTAAGGTAAGTGAACTTTATATTTAAGTATGTTTTAATAAACAAATTTTAAAAGGAAGAACATGTGTTTAGGTATATTTTAAAAATGTTCATCCAAAATTTCCTGAAGGAGGAAAACTATCTCAATACTTAGATAATTTAAAGATTGGAGAGACAGTTGATTTTAGAGGACCTTCTGGTAGACTGGTTTACAAGGGTCATGGAAACTTTTCCATAAAAATTTTGAGAAAAGACCCACCTGTGGAATATACTGTTAAAAAGGTATTTATTCCAAATTTATATTTATACATATATATTTTAAATTACTTTTAAATTTATATTGAAAATATAACAATATTTTTTATGAATATAGGTTGTGATGTTAGCTGGTGGAACAGGTATTACACCAATGTTGCAATTAATTCGAGCTATAGTAAAGGACCCCACAGATGAAACCCAAACTTCTTTACTTTTTGCTAATCAAACAGAAAAAGACATATTACTTCGAAATGAATTAGATGATATTGCAAAGAATCATCCTAACAAATTGAAACTTTGGTATACATTAGACACTAGCAGTGAAGACTGGAAATATAGTACAGGTCATATAAATGCGGAAATGATAAAAGAACACATGTTTCCTCCATCACCTGATACAATTGTACTTATGTGTGGACCACCTCCAATGATCAATTTTGCCTGTAATCCTAACCTGGATAAATTGGGATATGATCCAAAATTACGCTTCGCATATTAAAGTAACAAATTGTTCTATTAAGTTGAAGTGTAGAGATTGCATTTGGCTTATTAATGTATATTATTGTTGAATGAGATCTTACAGATACAACATTATTTTATATGAATCATGAACGGGTTTAGAATACTGTATACATAACATTAATAACTGTTCAAAGTAATTAAAAGTTATGAATATTTAACTTACTAAACTATTTTTAACAATGTCAAAATGTAAGAAATTATACATAGTATTTTTTAATAGCCCAGTGATAATCTAAGAAAGCCGTGTTCACAAATATCGACGTATTTAAAGGAATAAATAATTAAACGATTAAAGAAAAGAAAGTTAATTTATATTTTGTAATTCCATGTTTGCTATAAATGTTGTTAATTTTTCATTACAATTTTTAATTTTATAAAAAATGTGTTGCCACTGCAAAATTTTAGTGAGAAATAGTATGTAGGTTCAAATATTAAGCATTTATTGTAGATTTGTTGTTTTGTTATAAAAAATGATGATCATAAATCATTTTGGTTATTTTATAAATCCCTTACATCTTTTCGTATTAAATTAAATATTTTTTATGTAAAAATCACGGTACATGTTACAGCAATAGAAGAAAATTAGCGTATTCACACTAATTAACAATTTGCAATTAATATTATTAACAAAATGAATACTCGAAGCTAAGTTTATAATCTGATTATAATTCACATAATGGAAAAGCAGTGCAAAAAGATTAGAGCAATAAATGATCTGATTGTGTAATTAACAACGACCACGATCCCTAACACGTTTCCTAGGTGCCGCCCGTAGGATATCATCTACACGCAAAATCATTTCTGCCGCTTCAGCTGCACTAAGCAAAACTTGTCTCTTCACAGCCCAAGATTCCGTTATTCCCAATTTTTTCATGCAACTGATTTTTCCTTGTTCCATATCTATTAATATAACAACAAAAATAATTAATTACGGATCATTAGGTTATTGTTTACTTCGACAAGCAGATGATAATAGTATTTAAACATACCGAGACCCATTGTATTTGCACCAGAATTATGCGCAGCTCTCAGTTCGCTAACTAATTGAGCTGAATCATAACCAGCATTGTCTGCAATGACAGTAGGTAATTGTTGCAAGGCTCGAGCAAATGATTCCATTGCAACTGCTTCTTTTCCAGGAGTGGCAGCAGCTGCTCTCATTACAGCACAAGCCATTATCATCTCACTGCATCCTCCGCCATAAACAATTCTCGATTCGCGTACAGTAGCCGACAGTACACAAAGAGCATCGTGCAGAGATCTTTCTGCTTCATCAAGAATTTGTTGAGTAGCGCCTCTAATTATTACCGTACAAGCCTCTCCCAACGGAACTCCGGAAAATTTAAGCAAAGTGTCTTCACCTACCATAACCTGAACAAATATAACTAATTAATATACTATACGATTTTAACAAAAATTATAACGTACCTGTTCAATGAGATCACATTTTCCAAGTTTCACCATATCAGGATTATCAAACGTACTGACTATTTCTCCACCAGTAACAAGCGCGAGTCTTTCAATACCATCAAAGTCAGCATGCTCAATAGCCATAATATTAGCATCAGCAAACAATTGCTCAGGATAATTATAAATTAACTGTCTATTGACAAAAACGTTGCAGCCATGTTTTATGATTTTGTCAACTTTATCCTGAATAAAGCATAATTATCAAGTAATTACTAAAATGAGATTTATAAAATGAAATTTTATGTATGAGTAGTTTACCTTCATTTTTTCTTTTTCCGCTGCTTCTAATTCTGCGATTTTTGCCATTGAATCAACTCTTACTCTCGATCCAAATACCTAAAAATGAACATTTATATTAGTTTCATTAATGAATTAAAGTGAACAAATATCTGTATATTACTTACTTTGATTTTATCTGTATCCATGGGAGTGTTAGCTATAAGAATACGTGCATCAGTTATTCTTTGTGGTTGATGTACTCCAGGTTTCTTATCCAGTAAGAATCCATCATCAAGGTAAGAATCAGATAAAGTTCCTCCACGTTTCTTGATTATTTGAATAGCTGATAAATTCCCTGATCCTTTAAGACGTAAAACAGCATCCACTGCAAGGGTACTGAAGTGTTCTTTATGCTGCGCTAAAATTTTTGAGCTCAAGGTTGTACGAGCAATGTTAGATAGATCTTCACAGAAACGTTCAGGATCTGCTGAATTGTCAGCTGCAGCATTTTTTAAAGCTTCCCGAGCTACATTAGTTGCATTTCTCCAACCAGCAATTATGGTTTGTGGATGAATTTTTTGATCAATTAATTTCTCTGCTTCTCTTAATAACTCAGCAGCTGTAATGAAAAATAATTATCATAACAACAAATCATATAACAATATTATTACAAATAATCAAATTTAATTTGTTATACAAACCAAAAACAGTTACAGATGTAGTGCCATCACCAACTTCATCATCTTGCACACGTGACATATCTACTAAAATTTTGGCTGCAGGATTATCTACACCAACACTTTTAAGAATAGTTGCTCCATCATTGGTGACTTGAACTTGTCCAGCGGATCGACCATGAGCTACCAATACTTTATCCATACCCTTTGGGCCAAGCGTAGATTTTACTAAGTCACCAATAGCTATTGCTCCTACAAATAAACTTAACCTGGCAATTTCTGCCTTCTCTTCCTCTGCTTCATTTTTCAGGATCCTAACAGGATTCAAGGAGACCTGCATACATACATTAACACTTTTAGTAATCGATAATACTATCAATTTGCATAAAAATTCAATGCTCGTATTAATTTGATAAATTATAGATAGTTTTCTGAATACATAAATATTACAGATATTTATGTATTTATAATATTTTTAATTTTATTTAACAATAGAATTTGTCACTTAAGAAATGAATTTGCTGTAAGGATTTCAATGGAAAAAATTCGACAAACAAATCAGTCTTGTTGCTGTAATAGTATATTTATAGCAAGTATAGTTTTGCTTAGAAAAATATTCATTGAATTAATAATATAAAAAGTCTTTCTATTGACACACGTGCGCCATTTGTCACACCTTCATATATGAAACCGGGCATCGAATATCAATTATTACTTTGATTTCTGACGATATTACAATAATAACATTTTACAACACATATTAACGAACTAAGATTGTTTAATTACCATTTTAAATTACAGTCGGAACGATAAATCACAAATTGCAATTGAATAACGTTTCTTTTACTCGACAGCAAAGCACAATTACAATGAACTTTTGGTGCATAGGTGGCACTACCGCTTGAAATTAAACATACAATTTCTTCAAGTTTCTCACTCTAACCTTCCTTCAATTGGCTACTCCAAAACACTAAGATTCTTTGTAGCGAATCAGAAAGAATTTTTAGATTCTACAAAAGAGAATGTACCATTTACAATTGAGTTTTACTGGAAAACACCGAGAAGCTTCTTTCGTAACTTATACATTGTAGATGGCACGATATGTCTGAATGAGCCATCGGGTTCTCAATATAATTCCTTTTAAGGTTCGCCGAAACAGACAGAAAATGAAAGTATTCAGGTTTGAAATTTTATTATTCTCAGTTAAGTGATGAATGAAACAGACAATTCTAAGAGAAATTTCAGACTGAGGGATCTTTTAGTTTGTTACAATTTTTATTTTAGTTTGTACAAATAATGAGAATAGGGAATAGGTGCATATGGATGAATCTAGAAAGTCAAAGTCAACATAAGAGCCCTAATAGATGATGTCCATATTTGATTGAGCATCAATAAAACTCTCATATGTAACATTTCATAATAAATATTGCGATTTATTTTAAATTAATAACGATATCGTTGAATATACTCAAAGTATAAAACTGCAAAAATTACTCGTGAACGCTTAGAATTAAAATCATAACTCTTTTATATGGAAACATTACAGTTCTTTTGATTAACCATTCTTATAATAAACACCGCGGGTAGATCAAGGAAAGAAACATGGAAATTATACATATAACATATCGAGTTCGCAAAAATAAAGTCTGCAGTATCACCCAATGTCGAACTGTTTGAACGAAAAATGTTAAACAGTAAACCGTCAGCTTCTCAACAAATGCACGAGACACTTACTTATATAAATACATGATTAATTCGCTCACAATATTATAAAACAAATATCTTTTCTACACGCTCGACATAGAATTTGTACCAATAACACGTCGTAACAATAAATATTGTATCGCGTATATATGTATATATAGTGTGCATGTAAATACAATACGTAATATTTATATGCATATTAAAACACTCATAAAAAATATGTATCTCTTGTTATGACCATCACTTCTTTTCGTCACGATGAGATAGAATTTACATAGACTTCCGCGCAGCCCCATTGATTAATTCCTGAGAGGCGTTTGATTTTGTTTCGGGTGTGTCCGTCTGCGAAGAAACTTTCGGAAGACGAGGTGCAATTAGTAATATCGCTATACCCACTATGTGTGGAAGCATGTATAGAGACCTGAAAGGACATACAAGTACACGATTACGTAAAGTCTATTATGTAAGTCTAATTACCCAAACCTAATTACATATTCAATTGCCTTTTCGTTTTTAATTACTTACAGATATACTTTAATGCTCGGTATAAACTCCAAAAGTACAAAACTAAACGTGATGTAGGCCATTACGATTCGCGTAACAATGAATGAAATCGTGTCATACAGGAACTTTGTCGCTTTGCTGCTTAAGAAATATGGTCGAATTTTGCGACGAGTCTGTTACAATGTAAAACACGTATGATTAATTATTATAGAGGAAAAGAAAAGTCACGGTCCAAATTGAACGTTATTCTTTTAACTACACTTACGACACGCGATACCACAGTGATAAAGGCTCCATTGGCAAAGGTCAAATAGTAACCTGGATAAAAGCCATGCCATATGGCAGAAAGAACATACGTATATACAAGTTTATTGTGTTTAACTCTTTCGTACACGAGCGATCTGAGCCACCGATTAGTTCCTTTGTTCCAATGCTCGATACTCTCTTTTAAGCTTTGAGACATCTGCAATCAAAATAGCGTCGTATCATATGTACTTTAAACTTTAAATGTAATCTTAATTTTATGCAGAGTTTTATCGAATAGAATTACCTCGAAGCCTAAGACATCGACGTTAGAAGTTGCGTCCCATTGTGGTTTCCCTTTTTCATCGTATCCGCTGAATCCGAGTCCGGAGTTATTGCAAATCGCATCGGCAAATATCCACGCATGATAATATTTAAAACGCACCAGCATCGTCGCAATCATTAAATATCGTATCTTGTAGAACATCGACGTGTCCCTCAAGAAGTCATTGTCTGCGGATCAAATGAGTCTTCGTCAAATGGAAAATTGACCAAGTATACGGAGATAAAGGAGACCTTGTACGACGAATATATATTTACAAAAATTGATTTAAAATGAAAAAATTTCCAAATTCTTAAAATTGGCAATAAATAATGAGAATGAACTATTGATATATTGATCGTGTGAGGTCTTCCTGAAATAGACGTGAATCAAACCTTTCAGCCTGTCAATCGGAAACAGTGGAATGAAAATCACGAACGCTAGGGCACACAATAAACTCGCTAAAACCTTTTTGATTACGACGAATATCGGGGATGGCAGCTGTACTATCGCATTCCGGTCGTTGGAATTTTGATCGTTAGCCTGAAGAAGAATATCGAATGCTAAATACTATGTTATGCCATCAAGTAATGCCTGTGTCACTAATTTGTACAACTTAAAGAATGAAATAAAGGCGTCCGTACCGTTGAAGGCCTGGGTTTAGACAGATTACGTCCATGAATGAAATCCATGTAATCGCGATAATATATGACTGGTCCAGCCATTAAGGCTTGAAAATGGAAGACGAAACTAAAATATTCCAAAGGTGTCGGCATCTGTCTGAAATTAATTGTCCGTGTTATGCTAGGGCAATTTATTTTATTTATGTAAGCAGAGTTGACTTACGACACGCGTGCTACATCGTTTCATTGATTCATGCATTATTCCAATTTTTGTTATTACAAATAAAATATTTCACACGAAAGAAACTAACTAGCAAATACAATTTTTAGCGCTGAAACGTATCATAAGTGATTCAGAAAATATTCTTGTTCGGATAATTAAAATGAGTTCATTTTTGTGAAATGTTAATTTTTGAGCTTCAATGATTTTCAAAATCATTGAAATTTTGCTATAATGAATTTTCTATCGATCTAATATACTCGATAAATATCCGTACATCTTTGGCGCGTGCACGAAAGTTCGTCATCGCTGACGTAAAGCAACCGTCGAAGAATAATGAAACGAAACGGTGAGTCTAATTTCAAGTTCGTTCGTAACAAGAGCAATGTTAGTCTTCAATACAAATGAAACTCATACAGGATACACGTAGATGATGGGCGTTGTCGCGTTGTATATTACATAATTAGTGTTGTGGAATAAATGCTCTTGGTTCAAGAAGACGACAACTCACTTCACAGCTTGATGACGCTGCGTTGGCGTTAGTTCCTTCTCCGATCGTATTAAACCATCGTGCACATTGTACGCGAGGCTTGTTACTTTCTGCGTGATCACCATCAGCGGACCTGCAATGCATTTTTATCAATAAAGTCTCCGTTTTAAGCATGAGAATGCGTTTCGAGGGACGTGAAAGGATGTAGTAAAAGAGAAATAAATATGTTAATAATTACGCGTGCACTTACCGGTGATATCGAGAGTGTAGGAAGCATAGTCGTATATTTGTCGATGAAAATGCACGCATGATAAGTAGAACAACGCCGTCACCAATACAAAACTGAAACGTAGACATGAATCGTTAATTGTTAAGTTCAAGGAAGAGTAATTGATTGTTAAAGCCCTTGGGCTTCAATCGTATTTAAGACACAACTTACACATATCACATATGTTTAATTACTTAAATTAGTAGACTATTTATGTAGAATTCTGTACTATACAGTATTTATGTAGAATTATTTATGCAAAAATTCTTAGAGTTAAATCTCTCCGTGTGACAAATCGTATGGCAACAAATATGTTACATATGTAATAATTTGTAATAGTTCGCATAAATAAAGGTATTATGAATGCATAAAACAATAATATTGTCTTTGTTCTTAATTGAATATATTACAACCGTGTTCAATGAAACAAGTTTCTGAAATATGTTTGTAGACAGTAAACAATAGCTCGTACGATATTAGCTAGGAAAATATTTACACGCTTCCGTTTAGTTTACTCTCACTTTAATTAAATACGTATCAAGCTTTACTTAATCTACTGCATTTTTCTTCGGCTCACGAACGTTCAGAATTTGCAGGTACTTTCTAACTACGGAGAAAATACTTTCTCTCCTCATGAATGAGGAAGGAACTCTCGAGAATAACTCTTCGGAAAGGAGCACGAATTTACGTTAATTAATTAACAATTACATCTATATTAGGTTAAAGGTAGAAATAACTTGCCTCTGCATATTACGAGGATTTTGTGTGTACATTACTATGTAACTTAAGATGGAAAGGCCTGCAAGGTGTATCACCTGCCTGAAAAAATACGATTATTTTCTATTTAAATCAAGCCTTGTTAAATTAGCGTAGGAATAAGGACGGACATTTTTAAAACTATTTATAATTTTCTACGATTAAGGGTGTTCAAGTTTAATTGTAACATCAAACTTTTTGTACATGTTCACAATTTTGTAATTAAACTTTCTTTAACTGAGAATTAAATTAATTCATTAATATAATGAATTATTTGAATAATTTTCTATATGAAGGCTAACTTTATACAAAAGTTATAAAAGTTGATTGTAACTTTTCTAAAAATGAAATTTTTTTATCTAACTTGATTTATTTTTAAACCAAATTTCGTAGAAATAAATTTTAAGTTTAATCTTTAATTTCTCCAAACTGACTCTTAATCTGGAACACCCGCTAGGGCGCAACAATTCCATGCTTATCGAAGCCATAAGCTTTTCATCAACTAAACAATTTTCTTTCATCAATGCAGATTTACCTGCCAAAGCAAAAATATCCAAGGAGAAGACCATTGACGAGACCAAACACATGTCTAGTGGTCGGTGAAACTCTATCAGGGCTAAGGAAGTTCCTTAAAACGCCAGCCAATATCAACGCCGTGAATTGTGTTACTAAGAAATTCACCTGCAAAAAGAAAACAAAATTTTTAAAGTACCACCCACATAAATCACGTAAAGCTCGTTATCAACGCTCATCCGTCAACAAAGACTGCACTTGCATATTTCTGTACCGTTATCGCAGAATCGCCTCATTTCCTTAACTCTTGCCGGCTTTCCGGGGAAGAACATGATTAATCTCTTTAAACTGCACCGCTGAGCAATATTATCGCTTCGTCAGTTAAGAAAATGACAACTGAGAGAAACTCTGTTCTCTCAATTATGAATCATCGATAATGACAAAATGATCAGATACTCGTTAATCAAATTTGTATAGGAAAAGAATTATTATTTGTACACGATTGAAAATGGTGGGAAATTTGAACCCCAACTTTTCAAATGTGACGTCACATGGAATTTAATGGAATCGATGAAAAATAGATCTTAATTGTAAAATTGCAGTTTGATTAGCATTATGTTAATCATTTATGCAAATCAAGAAACTAATGTACACTTTAAGATTAGCTAGCGATCTTCAAGGTTTGAGTTTGCTAAGTGCGAAAAAGATTGAATCGTAAGTGCAGAATGTCCTATAGTGAATAATCAAGATACTCAGATAATTTAAATAAATACATTGTTAAATAAATACATTAAATAAATACATTGTTTCGTTAACTGTAACACTCTTGTTTTATGAGAAACAACAGTGACTCGCGACTGAAATGAGTTTTTATAGATATTTCAAGATTAACCCTTAACGCTTCAAGTGTGCCTCTCAAGCACCACTGATATGCTGCCTAATAATTACTCATTATAACTAATAAAAATATTGTAATCAAAATTAAATTACTTCTGAGATGAATAATAATTGTTCGACTTTAATATTATTATTTAGTCATTGTAGAATTTATCGACACTTAAAAACTTGCAAGCGCTGATGAGAATAAGTTTTCGATCTTCACAATTAGTGAAGGGTTAAAGATGTTAGCCGGAGTCAAGAGTTAAAGATGTTCAACTCGATAAATACTGTAATACTTATAGATTTTCATCATGCATCAAACATTTTCGAACATAGAAAATAGAAAACGATGATCGAGAAAATTCCTGAGCGATTTAGTCCTACAAGGGTTTCCCCGTTTACAAAGAACGACAGAACGTGCATTATGCTCGTATGAACTCCGAAGGCCACGCATGAAAGAGAACATACTTTGTATAGGCGCTATTGTTCCTTGGGTGTGCGTAATGGACCGCATTCATTGCATAAAGTGTGACTTAGTAATAATAATAAAAAAAATAACAATAAAAAAAAAAATACGATGTACAGCACCGATATAGTACCCTTCGACAATCTCGTGTTTTATTTGTAGCATTATTATAACGATAGCGATGACCTATCAATTATATAAAAATCTTTATCAAGTATGTTTAATTTATTGTAGGAAGAACTTGCTGACAGGGAATTTACTAATTGATGCATGTTATCAGGGATTAATTGAAGAATTGATTTAATCTTAGAGTTGTTTTTGTTGTGGTTAATTAAAGTGAATTAATTTTATTTATGGAAATGGGTGTTATTTTCCTGATGTGGATATTTTTTGTTTGTGATCGGTTGAATATTTGGGGATTTCCGGATTTGAGGATTTGGGGATTTGGGGATTTGGGGATTTGGGGATTTGGGGATTTGGGGATTTTGGATTTGCAAATTTGGGGGATGTGGAAATTTGAGATTTGGGGATTTAGGAATTTATAAATTTGGAAATTTAAGGATTTACACATTTGGGAATTTGGGAAATTAGAGATTTGAAAATTTGAGAATTTGGAAATTTGAGAGTTTGGAAATTTGAGTTTGGAAATTTGAGAGTTTGGAAATTTGAGAGTTTGGAAATTTGAGAGTTTGGAAACTTGAGAGTTTGGAAATTGGAGAATTTGGAAATTTGGGAATTTGAGAATTTGGAAATCTGAAAATTTGGAAATCTGAGAATTTGGGAATTTGAGAATCTGAAAATTTTTAAATTTATAAGATTCAAAACAAAATTTATGAACTTAAAAATTCAAAAACGTAGTATCGACATTCATTACCGATATAAAAATATCGTATTATTATAATTCTTAAACTTGAACAATGAAATGAAAAGTCAGATATAATAAAAATAAAAAAATATTATTTTAATTGTTCTCTTCGATTAACACGTATTGATATGTAAACAAGATATTATACGCGTATCGCTATTGTGTGCAGAGCGATAACCCCCGGTAACCCGTAACAAGGGAATCCCCTGCATCCGTACGGAAGAATGAACGTACACAGCCACAAAGCCGGATAAGAAACCAACGGTGATCCCCCGTGGAAAATGTCACAAAGAGAACAGGGAAAAAGCATCGAGATTGGATTTCATATATAATGCTGAGCTTCTGCCCAATGTGGCATTCAGTTCTCTCAGCTTCATTCAAGAAGTTCAGTAATCTTCTGCTTGTCTAATCGAAGCAAATCAACCAAACAACAAAATGAAGTTCATCGGACTTGCATTTGCCCTTTTCTGCGCTGTGGCTTACGCTACCGCTCAAGTTGCCCAGGAGGAACAGATGCAGCAAGAATACGTGAGTATATTTTAATTGTGTTCAAAATTTTTTAATTTTTAAATTGTTCAATTGTAAGTTCTTCAATTCCCAATTCCCAAGTCCTCAACTCCCAAATCTCCAATTCCCAAATCCCCAAATACTAAAATCCTCAACTTCCAAATCCCCAACTCCCGAATCTCCAAATACTGAAAGCCTCAAGTCCTAAATCCCCAATTCCCAAGTCCTCAACTCTCAAATCTCCAATTCCCAAAACCCCAAATACTAAAATCCTCAACTCCCAAATCCTCAATTTCGAAGTCCTCAACTCCCAAATCCCCAAACACTGAAAGTCTCAACTCCTAAATCCCCAACTTTCAAAGCCCCAATTCCCAAGTCCTCAATTCCCAAATCCCCAAATACTAAAATCCTCATCTCCCAAATCCCCAAATCCCGAATCTCCAAATACTGAAAGCCTCAAGTCCTAAATCCCCAATTCCCAAGTCCTCAACTCTCAAATCTCCAATTCCCAAAACCCCAAATACTAAAATCCTCAACTCCCAAATCCTCAATTTCGAAGTCCTCAACTCCCAAATCCCCAAACACTGAAAGTCTCAACTCCTAAATCCCCAACTTTCAAAGCCCCAATTCCCAAGTCCTCAATTCCCAAATCCCCAAATACTAAAATCCTCATCTCCCAAATCCCCAAATACTAAAATCCTCATCTCCCAAATCCCCAACTCCCGAATCTCCAAATACTAAAATCCCAACTCCCAAATCCCCAAACCCTTAAATCCCCAAACCCTTAAATCCCCAAATCCCCAAATCCCCAAATCCCTAAACCCCTAAATTCCCAAATCTCCGAAACCCCAAACCTTCAAATCCTCAATTTCCCCAACTCCCCAACCCCCAAACCCTCAAACTCCCCAATTCCCCAATTTTCAACTCGCCAAATTCTCACCCTTTCAACTTCCCAAGTCTTCTCCTCCCAAATATCTTCTCGAGCAAACAATTCTACCCTCATTAACCGTAAATGTTCTCGTTCTCTCAGGAGCAAGCTCGTTTTCGTCGGGAGGCTAATCCCCAAGGATCACTGGTGATAACTGGCCAGAAACCCCTAAGCGGACCCGACAGGCGACCATCCCTGGACATCAACTACCAACGCCCGATATTCGAAAGACAAGGAGTTAATGGAAATGCCTACGGAGGTGTAAATATTAGTCCGGGACAACCTGCTCGTCCACACGTTGGCATGAACTTCGAGAAGACTTACAAGAACGGTGGCTTCGGAGGATTCGGACATGTCGAACGTGGACCTGGCGGAAGACTGTCGCCCGTCTTAGGCGTTGGAGGCAGATTTACTTTTTAAACAAATATTGACGACGTTGCGAAGAGTATTTTAATTTTATTAATCACTCTTCGTGTTTATGATTACTTAAGAGATTATTACGCATTTGCTGCCATATCTTTCCGTTTTTAAAGGATATTTATTTGTAAACTAACCCTTCGAATCGACGTCTTTCCATTTCTAACGGATCATATTTATTTGGAAATTAACCTTTTCGACCTTCTGTTTTAAATAAATATTTACTTGGAAAATAAACGCGCCGTGACGTATATTCGTTTTTGTTTCCGGTAAATAATATTTAAAAATTTGAAACTTGTTTTCGGCGTCTAATTGTGAATAACCGGCTGTGAAATCTCTTTGAGAAAATATTGTTGAAAACAAATTTTTTGTTAACGAAGCTAAATTTAAATTCTTTGGATCTTTCGTGCATCAGTAATTTGTGTACATTCACTGTTGAAATTGATGTTTGTATAAACGTCTCGTAACGAAATGGTTAATAACTATTTATTCTGGCTGTGTACAACGATATTTATCGTTATTGATCCACAATGACGCGTCGACTGATCAGCTATTGGCTGTTAATAATATAGTAACTGTATTGTGAATTTATTGCAATAAACGTAGCTTCAGCGTCTAAACGTTGTTTTTATTGAGAATGATTGAAAGAATGAACACGAAGTGGCTTGTGCCATTGTTGGTGAGTGGAATTAATGAATGGTAATGTCATAGAGTAATTTATGAATATAATAGTTTGCTGTATTGGGTAATAACCAAATTTCCAAATTACGGAATTCTATAATTCTCAAACCTCAAGTTCTCAAATTACCAAATTGTCGAATTACCAAATTTCATAATACTCTACATACTCAAATCCTAAATTTTCTTAATTCACCAAATCTCGAACCCCTACTTCTCAAGTTCCTTAATTCCCAAATTACCAAATTCTCAAATCCCCAATTCCCAATTGCCCAATTCTCCAATTCGCAAATCACCAAACTCCCAATTCCCTAGTTCACCCAAATCCCCAATTCCCAAATCCCCAATTCCCAAAACCCCAATTCC